AGTAGATAGGATGATTCTCTGGGAGGGGAAAGAAGAGGGATGGGGGGGAATTTAGATGATATAAAAACAAAAGATACCAATAAATTTATTTAAAAACAAATAAGAGAGCAATAGGAAATGCAAACATGGCAATAGCAAAGAACATTCTTTTTCTTTTCCTTTTGGAGGCAATCAGTGATAAGAGATTTGCTTACAGCTAGTAAGTGTCTGAGGCTGGATTTGAACTCAAGTCATCCTGAGGGAGGTGAAAGAACATTCTTAAGGAGATAGAGAATTTTACAGTGTGTAAGTGCATGTGTGTGTGTGTGTCCTAGTGATAGACAATAATGCAGAAGGATGGGAGGAGACTTCCTGTTTGAAGGTATATTAGTTCAGAAATCAGGGAGAGGTAGTAATTTCACATTTCCTGGAGAAAAATGAGCTTTAATGACCTCCATTAATGCCCATAGGCATACTGATGCTGGCAGACTTTGATTCAGGACCTAGGAACATTCTACTTGGATCTAGGAGACCATCAGATACACCTGGATCCCTCTCTAAAAGGTAGTCCTAGAGAAGGCCTTTAACCCCAATGTTCCCATTTCTTAAGATCACAGTATTTTAGAGTCAGGAGAATGCTTAGAGAGATCACCTAGTTGAACCCCACATTTTAGAGTGGAGGAGGTTAAGATTCCAAGAAGGGAAGTGACTTGTTCAGAGTTATACACCTAGTTACTGACAGAACAAGGAGAGAACCCAGATTTACTGACTTGTAATCCACAGCTTGTCTGTGATGTGTTTCTTTGTCCCAGGCTAGTTTGTCTGTCTGTCACCAGGTTGGTCTGTCCTCAGGCTACTCTCTATGGTAAGGCTACATCACATAGGTAGAAATAGAGGTGACTATAGTAGGTAGCAATGGGGTGTGTATGTGGGTGATTGGTGGGATATTATAAGGAGTAAAATTGAGGCCCAGAAGGACCTGCAGAGTCTACAAAACCAAGATGTCAGAATTATAGTGTTTTCCTGTAGGTGGTAGGGAGTCTGAGGGGATCTAAGATCAGCTTGATCATCTCCCTCCTATGTCTAGCAGGATTAGTTTAGCAATAGAAGCTCTGCTCCTGAATCTCCAGGGAGCCTTGTCCAGCCTCCACAGGGAAAGTGTTGGACTTATCTAAAGAAGGATACCCAGCCATCCTTTGATGAGAAGGTGCTTCCTGCCCCAAAGCATTTCTTAATCAGTCACAGATTTATACAGAAATTGAGAGTTGTCCAGGACTTCAGTCACCATTTAATACAACACATAAATGAAAGGAATCTGTGACAATTGATCCTTCAGCCTCTGTTTGAAGACCTCCAAGGACAGAGAACCCATCGCTTCTTAAGGCAACCCAACCCATTTTTGGAGAACTCCAATTGTTAGAAAGTTTTTTCCTGACATCAAACCTAAATGTACTTCTTTGCCACTTCAGTCTTCTTGGGTCAAACCGAACAAATCAAATCCCTCCTTCACATGACAACCCACCCACCTCACTACACACACACACACACACACACACACACACACACACACACACACACAGACACACACACTTTGAGCCTTCTCTTTTCCAGGCTAAACACATCTAGTTCCTTCAACCAATCCTCATGTCATGGACTCAAGGACCTTCACCATCCTGGTTCCCCTCCAATGGACATTCCCCAGACATTGATAATGTCCTTTTAAAACTGCTCTGCACCCAAACTGAACCCAATATTCCAAATGTGGTCTGATCAGGGTGGAGAACAATGATGATATTATCTTCCTGTTCCTGGAAGCTATGACACTGTTACTGATATTAGCATTTGTGCCACATCACATTCTGACTCCTACAGAGCTTGCAGTTCATTAAAATTCCTAGATCTTTCTTCAGAACAACTGCTGTCTAACTGTTTCTCCCCATCTTGTGTTTGTGAAGTTGATTTTCTTTTTCCAAATGCAAGACTTTACATGTATCTCTACTCAGTTTCATCTTATTAGGTTCATTCCAACCCTAGTCTGTCAAGTTTCTTTTAGATCCTGATTCTATCATACAGTATCTTAGCTATCCCTTCCAGCTTCATGTTCCCTTAAACTGTGATCAATGTACCATCCATGCATTTCATGAAGTCACTGAAAAAAAATTCAACAGCCCAGCACCAAGGACAGATACCTGGAATGGTCCACTGGACACTTGCAGCCAAACTGCTGATGAACCACTCACTCTGAGCCTGGCCATCCATGGAGCTTGGAATTCATCTAATTGCGTTCTCATCTAATCTATATCCCTCTCTTTTCTCTACAAGAACACTATGATATACTGTATGATAAACTTTGATAAATTCTAGGTAAATTATTTCTATTAACAACTATTATTCTTCATCTATTAGTTTAATAATACTGATAAAGATGGAAATAGAGTTAATCTAATATGACCCATTTTTGATGAAACCATCCTGACACTTTGTAACAACTGTTTTCCTTTCCTTTCCTTTCGTTTCATTTTTTCAATTGATAAAATTTTATTTTGTCTCCCTCCCATTGTGTGTGTGTATAACACTTGTAATAAATACACATGGTCAAGAAAAATAAATTCCTTCATTGGTTATGTTCAAAAATAAATTTTATGAGAGAGAGAGAGAAAGAAGAAAAAGAAGAAGAAGAAGAAGAAGAAGAAGAAGAAGAAGAAGAAGAAAAAGAAGAAGAAATAAAAAAGAAGAAATAAAAAAGAAAAGAAGGAAGAAAGAAAAGAAAATTGGGACATTTGGCTTTCTCCAATCTTGCCTGTTTTCCACGATCTTTCAAATATCATTGACAGTGGCTCAGTAAACATTGCTGTTTGTTTTTTGTTTTTGTAACTATGAATTTAATGTATCTAGGACAAGTGAGGCCTATTTTCTTGATTGATGAGTCCTTGGCTGGGATCACCATTTCATGAGAGGTCCCAGTCCTGCTCAACTCACTCCATTGCATGGGTACTCTCCCACCTCTCAGCCCCCCATCCCCAACCCTTTTTCCATAGTCTTTTAAAGTTTTGTCTTCCCTATTAGAATGTAAGCTCCCTGAGAAAAGGAAAAGTCTCATTTTCTTTCATTTGTATCTTTAGTATTTAGCACATTGTTTGGTACATTGTTCATGCTTAATTAATGCTCTGTCTATCTATCTGTTAGTATTTCTGTCTACCTACCTATCTCTCTGTCTTTCCTCTCCTCTCCTCTCCTCTTCCTCCTTCTCTCTCCCTCTCTCCCTCTCCCCCCCCCTTGTTAAAGCATCAGTCGATCCCTGAGACTTTGTAGAGAGATGATACTTCTGGATTCCATGGGAGAAGATTGTAGGAGAAGCTGGAGAAAAGAGAAAGACTTGAGCCTGAGGACTTGAGGAAAGGAAATTATATAGAAGGGATTTAAATTAGTAACATAGGTCAGAAATTGAATATGGGAAGGAGAAATGGAGGAAAATTTAGAGAATAATCTCCAGGTTCACATACTAATGCAGATTCTACTTCCAGAATCCATTCTGTTGAAAGATGCAAGATCAAGGACAATTTCTCTCTCTCTCTCCCTCCCTCCCTCCCTCTCCATTTGTCTATTTACCCATCTATCAGATCTTTGGTTCATCATTTCTGGTGCAAAGGTCACTCTCCTTGGCAGAGAAAATGGAAGCAAAGTAAGCAGTGGGTGGCTCTGCCCTTTTCTCTCTCTGTTGTCATTATCATCACCCCACCATTCCCCCTCCCCCCCAGCAAAGGGGAAGATCTCCTTTCTTTCTACCTTTTTATTTTCCTAATCTAGATTTTCAAACCCTAGCCCTTTTTGTGGTCCTTCATTTTCCTTGCCAGCCTCAGCTTATTCTCCCCTCCAGCACTTCTGACACAACTGTTCCAGGACGCTCTTAGTTATGCCACACTCTTCTATTCATCTCCTTTGTTGCTGTGCCACCTTGAAGAAATTATTCCTTTGGGTTAAGCCTTCTGCTTTCCATGGGGGGAGGGGTGGAAGGGAGGTGGGAAGAGGTTGTTAAAAAGGCAAATCCCCAGGGGAAGGAGAGTCCCCCTCCCAAGCCCCAGAACAGTGGGAATGACATTTTCATGGGATTTCTTAGAGTTGGAAGGCTGGGGAAGGACGAAGTTATTTATTCCAATGCCCTCATTTTACACGTAATTAAATGAAGACTCAGGTAGGCAGCTTGATTTGTGTTGTTGATAGAACCTGGAATCAGGAGTCTCAAGTTCAAATGCTGACTCACTTAGACACTGCGTGATCATTGGCAAGTTACAACCTCTCAGAGTCTTAATTGTCTCATCTATAAAATGGAGATAATCCTACTTGCATTGCCTATCTCACAGAGCTGTAGAAATGGGATTTGTTATACAATTCTGCTTCCCCCCCCACAACCTTGCAGAGTTTAGAGACTATGGGTGTAGAATATTGTCAGAATTGGTTATGTTTGTTGTCTAACTGCTTCTCTCTCTCTCTTTTTTTTATTCTTTGTTACAAGGGGTGGTTTTCTGAGGAGATGAGGAAGAACTGAATTTGGAAATGAAGATAATGTAAAAACAAAACAGATCGATAAACATTAAAAAAAGAAAGAAATGCGAGCTATTTTCACAACACTTATTCAGGGTCAACTGGGTAGCAAAGTGAGATTTTAAACCAGACCTCCTGACTCTAAACCCAGTGTTCTTTTTACTTCACTGGGGTGTCTGCTATCAGGCAACTATACTCTAAAATTGGCAGGAAGGGTTGGCCTGAGGGGGCATCATCTGAAAAAAAAAAAAAAAAGGGAGGCACTGTCTTTCCAGTCTTTGCATCACAGTTCACATGTATTTTGGCCATAGTGGGGAGGGAGGGAACAGGAGCCTGAGCAGCTGGTACTGATTGAACAGGAATTCAGGGCCAAGTTCTATTTTATGACCTACCGTGCCCCTCCCTGGGAGTGGGAACCACTCCAAAGACTCTGACCTGGGCGGGTGAGCTCCTATCTGTCATTGCTGTCTGGGGTGCCCATGGGACCATCTATCCGCTCACTCCCGCTCCCCACACTGCTGCTGCTACTGTTCCATGGTGAATATCTTCTGGGCTTGAGTGGCCCATCCCCGGGAGACTGCTCAATTGTAGGGGCGTCTCCAGCCCTTGACCCCTTCTTTTGTGTATGCCTTGACCTTCCGTGGCCTTTTATCCCTTCCTTGGGAGGGGTTCCTGGAAAACTAGATTGCCACACAATCTGGGGGGTACCAGAGTGGCTGGTGAGGGGAGTGAGACTGGATGGTCTATCCAGGGCAGTAATGAAGATGTAGGGTGGAAAGCTGGGAGAAGATCCTTTTGCCTTGGCCTGGTCTCCTTTCCCTGGCAGCTGGGATGAATCCATTCCCCTCAGCACTTCCCAAGTCTGGGGATGCTGAAATGGTAATTCAGACCCTAACCTCTTTCCTTCTTTTTAATCTCCTTCAGGTGTCCATGGGAACAGCCTGCCAACAGGTAAGTTGCTAATCCTGGAAAAGATAGTGAGAGCAGTCAGTCTGTTGGCCTTGCCTCTGGGACAGCAACATGGAGAGCCCAATAGGGGAATCAGCTGTACAGTGTCATAGAATTAGAGGCCCTGGCTTCAAGTTCCACTTCAGATACTTGTGTTCTCTTAGACAATAGATAATTCTCAGATAATTGTGTTCTCTTAGACAAACCTTATCACCTATCAGTGCTTCCATTTCCTTATCTGTAAAATGAGTAATGCTTTACTTACTACCAAGTGTTATTTGTGAAGAAGGCACTTTGGAAACCGTGAAGCACTATGTGACCTAGAAGTCTTACCTGAGGGCTAGGGGTTTAAGAATCCTTGGGTCCTGGGAGGGGATGGTGGTTTGTAAGGAAAGAGTGGGGAATAGGAATGGGTTAGAAGAGCAGGGAGGCCTCTGGGATGTCAGGGGGTAGTATTTGGGTAAGAATGGCCAAGAAGTCCAGTGTCAGAGAGGATGGTGAAGACTGGAAAGAGCCCGACTTTTTGAGAGGGAAATGAGGCCTAAGGGGAGATCCCAAAGCCTAAATGTCCCATGTTACCTGGGTGTCCTGGTAAGCTTTCTCTCTTTCAACAGTGTGTGGAACCCCTAAAGTAAGTGGGAGAATTATAGGAGGGCAGGATGCCCAGGAAGGACAGTGGCCATGGCAGGTCAGCCTAAGGATCCTCACAGGGCGACATATCTGTGGAGGCTCTCTCATTCATCCGAGCTGGGTGCTGACTGCAGCTCACTGTGTTCAAAAGTGAGTAAGGTCCTTGGCAAGTTGAGCTGGGTGTACCTAATCCTACCAGTGGGCTGTGGGGGGCAGGGATATCTTAAACCTTTACCCCCCCACCTAGAATTTCCCACCCTAATCCACAATTCCTGGGCTATGTACTTTGGGGAAAGGGCAGCAGAGGGGGTGGAAGGAGCAGGAGGAGGGAACAGTCTTTTCAATCATTCTCTTGTACTCCTTAAGATCCACACAGTCTCCAGGGAACTCCATTTCTCCTAGGTTCCCCTATTTAGGCATGGATGCCTTTCTCCTGGTCTCAATTTTCTTATGTACAAAATGTGAAGTTTTAACTTAGATGACCTCTAAGGTCCCTTCCAGGTCTAAATCTATGATCCTATGAGCCTTCCTTTATCTTTAGTGCCCCCAAAACAGGTGGGGGAGCTTTCAAAGTAACGAACTATGAAAGGTGGAGAAGCAGGGTAATATAGGGGAAAGGATCTTATTCTAGGAGTCAAGTGGTTGATTGTTGTCCCTACTCTATCATTTCCTGGCTCTAAAACTTCAACAATCCTAGTTCTTGAGGACCTTACTTTCTAATAGGGTAGAGAACAAGTAGGTATATAAATATAAAGAGCATAAATACAAACCCTAAACCAAATAGTTAAATCCCAGGTAACTTGAGAGGAAGAGCACTGATCTTTTTATTAAGTTTATCAGCCCTTCAGCTGCTCTGGTCTTTATTTCCCTTCTAGTTTCCAGCAGCCCTCATTCTATCAAGTCAGGTTGGGAGAGCTGAAGCTGTATACAGACTCAACCAATTCCTCCTTTGCATCTGTGAGAAGAATCATCATTCACCCTTCCTACAAATGGGGAAGCAATAACCTCAAAGGGGACATTGCACTGCTACAACTAGACTCCTCCTCTCAGATCACCCCTGTTTGCCTCCCAGCACCCCAGACCCAATTCGTTAATGGCACTCTGTGCTGGGTGACTGGGTGGGGAAAAACCAACACAGCAGGTAAGCCAAGGCATAGGGTAAGTGTGCTTGCCCACCTGCTAATCCCCAGGCCTGAGTATTTACATCTCTGAGCCCTACCTAAATGCTACCTCCTCCTCTGAGCAGTTCCTGATTACACCAGTACATAGGAATCTCTCCTTCCTTTGAATTTGTGTAGCCTTGGCTATCTGTTCCATGAATGCAGCCCTGATTGAACGCGGCCTGTTACTTAAGGACATAAAGTAGTCTCTCCAGATACTATATTCCTTGAGGACAAGGATTACATAGTATAAAGGGTCTGTAGCCTAGGCAGGAGACTTGGTTTTGAGTTCCAACTCTACCACTGTCATTGCGCTTGTTCAGTTTTCAGTTGTATCCGACCTTTGTGATACCATTGGGGTTTTCTTGGCAAAGACACTGGAGTGGTTTCCCATTTCCTTCTCTAGATCATTTTATAGATGAGGAAACTGAGGCAAACAGGGTTAAGTGACTTGCTCAGGGTCACACAGCTAGTAAATGTTTGAGGCTGGATTTGAACTCAGGAAGATGAATCTTCCTGACTCCAGGCCTGGCACTCTATCCACTGCACCACCTAGCTATCTCATCTAACTCCACCATTTAGTGTTCACAGAACTCCAGCTCCTCTAGATTTCCCTTACCTTAGATAAGTCAAAGGATACAGTATCCTAGAGTTGGGAAGGACCCTAGAGATTGTCTAGCATAGCTTCCCAAAGTGGGCGATATCACCCCCTGAAGAGTGCTGGAATGAGCCAGGGGGGCAGTAGTAGCCTCGGGTGCAAATGGGGGGGGGTGTTGAATAAAAATAAGGGGGCAGTGGAAGCATAAGGAAAGAAGAAAAGAAAATTTTGAAAAACCATTCATAAATGTTTCATCTGTTGTGTAACAGAATTAAAGTCATAGTGATTACATTATGTTCTAAATAAACACACAAAATGCAAGTTATAACCAATCAGTGGTCAAGTCTGCTAACAAGTCTTAACAAGCAAGTGTTGGCAGGTGGGCCTCTCTTGCATTGTCGGAAAGTCCAACATGCATTGGCAGGAATATGTGCATGTAATGACTTGTTTATAATATGATACTATATAGTTACATGATGCAATATTGTGTCATCAAAATTTCAATGCAGGAAAAACCCCACAAATTTACAATAAATTATTAAATTTAAGATGTCATTTTTAAAAAAAAATTATTCTTTTTTTTGAAATGATGCAAATTTTAAAAAATGGTTAAAGGGTTAAAGAAAGTAGATTTCCAGGGAGATGTTGGGTAATTTTTTTTTTTGAATCGTGGGTGGTAGAGCAAATAAGTTTGGGAAGATTCTAACACAATCCCCTAATTTTATAGATAAGAGAACTGAGGACCAAAGAATGAAAGTGATTTGTTCAAAGTCACACAGTGAATTAGTGACACAATCCGATATATATTTTTGTGGTATTGATGTTATATCCTAGGACAGTCAGTGACTTAATAGTTAACAAAAGTTTAGTAAACACTTGCTTTTTTGCCAAGTATTGTGCTAAGTATTTGTGATCCAAACAAAGGCAAAAAGTCATCTCTGCCCTCAAGGAGCTTACATTCTAATGATGAGACAAACTGTAAATAACTAGGTACATCCAAGGTTCATACAGAGTAGATGGAAGGCAATTTGAAAGGAGGAAGCAAGAAAGGTGTCCCCCGGAAGGTGGGATTTGAATTGAATCTTGAGCCAAGGATTCTAAGAGGTGGAGGTGAGGTGGGAGAAGGCTGCAGGCATGGATGGGAGGTGGAGTGTGTGAGGAAGAGCAAGCAGAATGATGTAGCTGGATCATAGAGCACTTGGAGGGAGACAAAACAGAAGGGGACCAGAATGATTAACTGATTTATTAATTATGGCTCTTTCTCATCTTTCTGCTCTGAAGGTTAATCATATGGTAGTATTAAAAACCCTGTAAGTATGTCACTACAATCAAGTCTTGACTGAGCCTTCATCCCCATTGTGGGGGAGAAAAATAAAAAAATACTTGTATTTCCTTATGGACCCTGGGAGAGCAGAGCCATAAGTATGAATCCAGCTTCTGGGTCAAATCCAGGTGGAGAAGGGGGCAGATAAATGGCTTTTCCTGGGGCTGCCTTTCCTCCCTCCTATGGAGCCTAGGAAAAGTAGAATTACATATGTACTATTCACCTAACAGGATTGTCATGAAGAAAATGTCTACATTTTCAAGCACTATATAAAATTGTTTTTTTTAAAGTACTATAGAAATGTGAGTGTAATTATCTAGTGAAGAATCTTCTACTTAAAACAAATGAATACCCTAAGAATTAGAATTGTAGATATATGATTTAAGAATTGGCTATTAGTTTCCTCCTGCTGCCAGACATTAGAAACATGGTAACAGCTGTTTCTATTATTACAAGAGTGTTCTGAGGATCAAATAGAATAATACACAGGAAATATCCCAAAAGTTTTAGTGCAGTTTTAAGCTTTAATAAGTTCTGAAGTAGAAATGTGACAAGCATACAAAAAAAAATCAAAGGTATTTTGAATATTTTAAATTTTAGAATATTGATATGTTTCTTATGAAAATTCAACATAGCTACCATCATATGCTCTAGTGAGTCTATATATCACACTAGTTGATTTTTTAAATTTGTAAAAATTTTCATCAGCTGCTATTCCATGACTAAAAAGAATTTGTATTATATTTGTAATCTTAGCCTTAGGGTATTCAAAGAATGAGGTCTTGATGCATACATGACAGCTTTGATATGATCACACACACAGAAAAGCCTAGTGGGGATATATCAGGTGACTGAAATGACCTTTTCTACTGATCCACTGGTCTGAGAAAGTGTCATCCAGAAACTATCAGACATAATGCACGAGTGTCCCATTTTGTTAAAATGAAAATAAAAAATGTATCACTTAATTTACAAAGTAAATACATCTAAACAAAGTTTCAAATGATTAAAAAATAAGTTTGAAGCATTTATACTTATGAAATCTTTAAAGTTTAAAACTAAATTAAGTATTTTGGGGCACCCTGTAGAAGGTGCTTTGCAAACTTTAAAACCCTCTATAAATGTTGGCTATTATTACCACCACTACTAATATTGTTATTGCTTAAAGGTGATCCTTCACAACACTGTTGTGGGTATCAGATGAAGTAATGGATGGAGGAGTACTTTGGAAAAATATTATGCATGGGTTAGCTATTGTTTTTATTGTTATATTATCCTGTTTTTTCTCCTTTCCTGATGTGCTGTAGGATCCTAATACGGGCTTATCTAATGGCCTTGAATTTTTCTACAAGTCTTGGCTGCTGGAGTTTCCCCTCCTGCTAGAGGTTCAGGTAGTAGCCCGGAGTGGAATTCCAGACCTGTACCTCCATCTGCCTTCAGGGCATCTTAACCTGGACGTTAGGCAGGCACCATAAGCAGTGACCCACCAGTTTAGATCTCTCCTTTAGGGGGAGATACTGCTCCTCCTCCTAACTTGACTATTTCTTCCTATGATACCCCCTTCTATCTAATCTAATCTCTCGTGTTCATAAATTGTGGTGTTATCTTCCACCCTTTCCTTTTCAATTTAATCCAATACAGAGTCCCGTCAACTCTACCTACAGATTACTTCTTATGATCAGTCGTCGCATTCTCTGGATTCTCTCTGCCACCACCTGGGACAGTTCCATCATTACTGCCTGTCCACACTATTGCAATCACCTTCTGATAGGTCACTCCACCTCCACTTTTTCCTCCTTACAATCTATCCTTTACACCCAAGGGCAGACTTTGCTTCCTTATTCATGGATCTGGTTATGTTACTTCTCTGCCCCAAACCCTTCCATGATTCTTTAACACTTTATCCTTAATGCAACGCCCTTCACCAACTAGGCTTCACTGTTCTTTGTGGTAGTATCATTCAAACCAGACTGGACTGCCTGCCATCTCCCAAATATACTTGGTGTTTTCCTGTCTGTTTGCTTTTGCTCACACTCTTCCTAATTCCTGCAATGCCTGCCTTCCCTATCTCCACCTGCTGAGTTTCCACCCATCCTTAAACTGCTGACTCAAGCGCCACATTCTCCAGGAAGCCTTCCTTGATCCCCTGGAGATGTTAATGATTATCCAGGCTTATACACAGTACTTTGCATGTATCTCTCTGATGTACTTGTCATGTATTTTTTTTTTAATTGTGTATATATCATCTGGGGAAGCTAGGTGGTGCAGTGGATAGAGCCCTGGGTCTGGAGTCAGGAATAGTCATCTTCCTGAGTTCAAATCCAACCTCAGACACTTACTAGCCATGTGACCCTGGGCAAGTCACTTGATCCTGTTTGCCTGTTTTCTCATCTGTAAAATGAGCTGGAGAAGGAAGCAGCAAACCACTCCAGTATCTTTGCCAAGAAAATCTCAAATGGGGTCATGAAGAGTTGGATGTGACTGAACAACAACAACAACAGAGGTTGACATAGGGGAATCAGAGAAGGTCTTGTGGAGGAGGTGACATCTGAACTGGGACTGGAAGGATGGGGAGGATTGGGATATGGAGGAAAAAAGGTAGGGAAGGTATTCTAAAAATGGGGAAGTCTAGAGGTGAGAATGAGTGGAAAGACAGTGGTCTTGGAGTCTTCAGTTTGAATCTCAGCTCTTCTATTTATTAAAACTTTGAGCAAATCTTTCTCCATCTCTGGGCCTTAACTTCCTCATTTGAAAAATTAAGAGAGTTGGACCAGATGGTTATTTCCAGTTTTATGATTCCATGTGATTCTATGGCGGATGCGAGGTAGAAGAGGGTAGGAGGTAGGAAGACTGGCCAATGAGGAAACCTGCTAGTGAAGGATGGCTAGGGAATAAATGAATAAATAAAATAAATATGAATAAAATAAAATAAAAATGAATAAATAAAAAAGCATTTACTAAGTGCTTTTTATGAGCCAGACACTGTGCTGAGTGCTGGGGATACAAATATATGCAAGCAATATAGTTCCTGCCCTCAAGATGCTTAACACCTCAAGGAGGGAAAGGGGAAGTGACTAGATTTTGAAAGGGTCAGGAATGGGCATGGTGATCTAGTTCTAGACAGGGTGAGAGCTCATTCACCTCTAGGTTAGTAAAGTTTCCCAGATGTCCCTAGATGCAGTTATAATTTACGATTTCCTTCACCTTAGAGCCAGTTCATAGGATCATAGATTTAGATAGGCCTTAAAGATCATCAGGTCCAACTTCCTCATTTTTCAAATGAGGAAACTGAGGTTGAGGGAGATTAAGTGACTTGACTGAGGGCCCACAGGTAGAAGGTAGCAGAGCTGAGATTCTAAGCCAGGTCTTCATACTCCAAGCCCAGTCCACTTAACCACTAGCTGGTGTTCACTGCCTCGTTGGCAAAAATCTTCTCTTTTCCCAGATGTTTCCTGGGTTTTGCAAGAAGTCCAGGTCGCCCTGATTGATGCCCAGACTTGTGATGCCCTATACCATATCAATAACCCCACGGCTTCAGGACAACCCCTGGTTTTGGATGACATGATCTGTGCTGGATATGAGCAGGGCCAAAAAGATGCCTGCCAGGTGAGAGCAGCTTCCTCTCTTTCCTCCCCCCAGGCTGTCCAGGTTCATAGACTAATAGCAGTTTCTCACTGAATGAATGAATGAATGAATGAATGAATGAATGAATGGGTGCATCATGCATATATGGGAAAAGAATTTATAAAGCATCTACTATGTGCCAAGTATGGTTCTGAATATTGGGGATAAGAAGGCAAAAGTATGATGGTCCCTGCCCCCAAAGTATTTATATTCTAATAGATGAAGGCAAGCACGTAAGGGAGGGGTGTCCAGTAGAGGAAGTTTTCATTTGTCATTCAATAAACATTTATTAAACATCTACTATATGTCTAAGCAATGGAGACAAAAGACAGTCACTGCTCTCAAAGGGATCACAGTCTAGTGGGAAGAAACATTCAAACAGCTATGTGAAAACAAGTTATATACAGGACAAATTAGAAAAAATCCACTGAGGGAAGGAACCTGAATTAAGATGGATTGAGGAAGTCTTCATGTAGAAAATTTTAGCTCAGACTTAAAGGAAGTCTGAGAAGTAACAGGAATGGTAAATAGAGCCAAAGGGCAGGGCATTGTCATGCCCTTCCAATAGTAATTTTGATTCGACTACTGTTCCCAGACCAAGAGGTAGAATGAGGGGTAGGATATAGGGGTAGTGGTATACCCACACTGTGGCAGTGTAGATGGCAAGATATCCCAGATTATTTGAGTTGGATGGATGGGAAACATGGTCTAGTAGGGCCAGCTAGATGTAGTCCTTTGGGCATGTTTGCACTAATTCACTGGCCTATCCAGCTTAGATCCAGGGTCAAATTCCAAATTGAGTACAATGACTCACTTTTTGAGGGAGGCAGTTGTCCTCTGGATTCCTCAAAGACTTTCTGAATCCTGTTTTTTTTCAAATTGGTCACAGTGTCCCTTGCCCAGCCCCTATGGATCTGAGCCTGGAAAATTCCAATCTCAAACCCTGGAATTAGAGGATGAGGTTCTCTAAAGAATCATGAAAAGCAAGGAGCTCCCATGAGGCTCTAGGAAAAATGGATCCAACTCAGATCCTGCATTCCCCTGAGATCTCACCAAGACTGATGGCTGAAGCCCTGCCTGCCCCATTCCTTTCTTCCTTATACTTCAAAAATCTGCTACCATCAACATTCTCATCTCTTTGGTTCTGATTATCACTCATCCATTTCCCTCCCCTTCCCCTCCTCCCAACCTATATACTCATTTCCGATGTCAAGACAATCATGGTTTCTAGCAAGGGTTTATCAGTGACAAGGGAAGGGCAAACATTAATGGGGATAGAACACCAGACTAGGAGACCTGGATTGGAGGCCTAGCTCTCCTGTTAACTTACTGAGTAACCATGAGTAAATCACTTTCTCAGTTTCCTCTTCTCTAAAATTAGTGGGTGATTAGATGTGTTGGGATGGAAGCTCCTGCTTCAGAGGCTCCCTAGAGGCACCTCTTGGACAACTCCTACTGGGTCACAACTTAGGGCCACCACTTACTAGCTGAGTGGCCTCAGCTAAGTCATTTCTCTGACTCTATCTATGATCCCATGATATTGGACGTGTCCAAAGTCACTCAGCTGGTAAATGGCAGAGTTGATACTTGAATCCAGGATTTCTAACTCCAAATCCAGTTTTGATTCTACCACAGCATTCCGAGCCTCACCCCTTCCTAGAAGTTATAGTAAGTAGTCATTCTCTAGAGCTGCCTCAGTCTTTTTAGAATGCTTGCAGAATTGTCCCAGTGTCCCTACAGTGTGCCTTGCTAGGAAGAAGTCTTCCACCAGATAAGGGCAGAGCTTTATGACATTTGCAATTCAATAATTCCCCAAAGTACAACAGAGAAATCATAGTTTTGCGAGGTTCATGTTAACTATATACTCTGGGACTGAATTAGACCCTGGAGTTGTTCCCTCCCCAATCCCACTCTCCTCCATATATCCACGATCTAGATGATCCAAGGTTTTTTTTTAAGTTTTTTTTTTTTAATTTTTAGGCAATTGGGGTTAAGTGACTTGCCCAGGGTCACACAGCTAGTAAGTGTCAAGTGTTTGTTCTGAGGCCAGATTTGAACTCAGGTCTTCCTGACTTCAGGGTCTGTACTCTATCCACTCTGCCACCCACCTGCCCCAACCCAAGGTTTAAATATACCTCTGTTGTGACTAACCCTGCCCCACCTTTCTCTCTCTCTCTCTCTTAGGGTGACTCTGGAGGCCCCCTTGTCTGTAAGGAGAATAATACCTGGTTCCAAGTTGGAGTGGTGAGCTGGGGAGACGGTTGTGCCCTACCCAACCGGCCAGGAGTTTATGCCTGGGTTCAGGCTTACACAGATTGGATTGAAACCACCATCAACTTTGCTCCAGATGGTCTTTCAGGGCCTGCCTATCCTACTGTGCTGCTGACACTGGTTCTTCTCAGTGTTCAATGAGATTCTTCCCACCATACCTCAACTCTGTAACTGCCAGGCATCTCATCTACCCCTTCATTTGGAACCCTCCTCAACCTCTCTGTAGCCTAGATGTTCTTCTTTGCTTTCTGACTGATGACAGCTATTTCTGTCTGGGGGATGGGAGAAGAGGATCACAAGTTGACATGCTCTGATCCAGACTTGGATCTGGTGCTAGTGCAACACAAGAGTGTAAGGAGACATGGTCTCTATCCAAAGGAAGGGAGGTCACAGGGCTAGTGGGGAAACAGCATATATGGCTCCACAATAATAGAAATGTTCATTCAGCAATATGTCAACTGTATATGTGGTCCTATCTGTATGCAGAAAAAGCTCAAGGGAGGATCACCTGGGCTAGAGTCACCAGGAAAGGCTTCCTAGAGGAAGGAATGAGCATAGAATTGGGCAGCAAGAGACCTGGAATTCAGTCCTGGCTATGTGGTCAGAGCCAAGTCATTTCCCCTGACCTTCAGTTTCCTCTTCTGTAAAATGGATGATGGTTGGATCTCACATTGTATACCAAGATAAAGTCAAAATCAGTATATAATTTAGACATAAAGCAAATGATATGATACCATGATACAAATGATATGATACCATTTGCTTATGATACCATAAGCAAATTAGGAGAACATGGAATCACTTACCTGTCAGATCTATGGATAAGGCAAGAATTTAGGATCAAACAAAATACAGAGAGCATTACAAAATATAAAAAGGATATTTAGATGATATGAAATTTTAAAAGATTTTGGACAAACAAAATCAATGCAAGCAAAATTAGAAGGAAAACAGAAAATTGGGGGAAAAAATTTTACAGCAAGTATCTCTGATAAAGGCTTCATTTCTCAAGTATATAGAGACCTGAGTCAAATACAGAACAATACAAGTCATTCCCCAGTTGATAAATGGTCAAAGAATATGAACAGGAAGTTTTCAGATGAAGAAATCAAAACTATACATAGTCATATAAAAATTGTTATACTGTTAATTAGAGAAAGCTAATTAAAACAACTGAGGTACCACCTCACAGCCATCATACTGGCTAATACCAGTAAATTTTTCTGTATGAAAAAGGAAAATGATAAATGTTGGAGGGGTTGTGGGAAAAGTGGGACACTAATATACTGGGTTTTCCCCCCACATTTATTTATTTTGTTTTTAGTTTATGGTATAAAATAAGCATTTCCATAACACAATGTAATAAAAAAAGATGATTGCACATGAAACTGCAAATCTATTATGTTCAACTTGCTATTCCTTTTAAATATATAATTAAGTTATTGTGTAAATTTTTTTTCTTCCCACCTCAAGTCACCCCCTCAGCCTAGAGATGGCTACCATTAGATTCAAATAGGTATATATATGTGTGTGGGTGTGTGTGGGTGTATATATATATATATATATACACCCACACATACATATATGTAAAATTATTTGATACATATTTTTATTTATCAGTTCTTTCTCTAGATGCAGATAGTCTTTTCTAGTTAATTTGGATTCTTATAATAGTAAAAATGATTTATTGATTCAAAGTCATTCTTAAAACAATATTGTTATTACTATATACAATGTTCTTTTGGTTCGGTTCATTTCACTCTTCATTATTTCATGCAAGTCTTTCCATGTTTTTTCTAAGATCATTGAGCTCATCATTTCTTATAACACAGTAGTATTCCATCACAATCATATACCACAACTTGTTCATCAATTCCCCAATTGATGGGTGTACCTGCAATTTCCAGTTCTTTGCCACCACAAAGAGAGATGCTATAAACATTTTAGAACATATAGGTTCTTTTCCTTTTTCCCCTAACCATTTTTCAAAATAGACCTAGTAGTGGTATTGCTGAGTCAAAGGGTATAGTTTCTCAGATAAAAGTCTCATATTTCAAATACATTAGTATATTAAGAACTAATGCATTGTTGGAAGAGTCGTGAACTGATTCAACCATTCTGGAGAGCAATTTGGTACAATGCCTAAAGGGCTATAAAACTGTGCACACCCTTTGATCCAACCTTACCACTATTAGGTCTGTATCCCAAAGAGATCATAAAAATGGGGAAAGTACCCACATGTACTTTTTTTTTAAAAAAGGGAAAAGAACATATTTGTACAAAAATATTCATAGCCGCTCTTTCTGTGGTGGCAAAGAATTGGAAATTAAGGGGTTGCCCATCAACTGGGGAATGGCTGAACAAGTTGTGGTATATGATTGTAATGGAATATTATTGTGCTATAAGAAATGACAAGGAAGATGATTTCAGAAAAACCTAGAAAGACTTACATGAACTGGTATGAAGTAAAGTGAACAGGATCAGGAACACATTATACACAGTAACAGCAACATTGTGCAATTAACAACTTGTCAATGACTTAGCTATTCTCAGCAATATAATGATCCAAGAAAATCCCAAAGGACTCATGATGAAGAATGCTATCTATCTGTCTCCAGAGAAAGAACTGAGGTCATCTGAATACAGACTGAAGCATACTATTCTTCACTTTCTTTTTTGTTTGAGTTTTCTTGCACAAAATGACAAATATGGAAATATTTTGCATGATTGCACATGTACAACCTATATCAGATTGCTCACCATCTTAAGGAGTGGGGAGGAATGGAGGGAGGAAAAGAATCTGGAACTCAAAACTTAAAAAAATTCCAACAAATGTTAAAAATTGTGTAAATGGGGGGAACTAAAATATTAGTTAAAGATAAATAGGTAGATAACAAAAAGAAATGAAGTGGTTGGTTTAGAGAGGGGTTCTTAACCTTTTTTTTTGTGAAATGGTCTTCTTGACCATCTGGTGAAGTTTATGACTCTCTAGAATAGTGTTTTTAAATGAATAATACAAAATGCGAATCTAAAGGTTAATGAAAATATTTATTTTGAGGCAATTGGAGTTAAGTGACTTGCCCAGGGTCACATATCTATTAAGTGTCAAGTGATGTCTGGTCTGATTTGAACTCAGGTCCTCCTGACTCCAGGGCCAATGCCCTATCCACTGTGCCACCCAGCTACCCCACTAGGTTAATGAAAATAAAGATGTAATTTTTCTTCCTAGCCAAATTCATGAATTCTTTGAGGGCCTGTGGAGTGCAGGTTAGGAATTCCTTGCCTAGATGATCTCCAGGACTTCTTCGGGCTCTGACATTCTATAATAACAATAAGAAGAAATTAAAACCATGTGGGAATGGAATAAAGTACATGTCCTCACCATCGTCTTTTTTACTGGAGTTGCTCCAGAGATGCCCTTAGTGAGCCTCCAGAGGAGGAGTTTACATCCCAACACATCTAATCAATTATAAAAAGTCATCATTTTATTTATCTGTGCAATGGTGGATAAAAGAAAAATGGCAAAGTCAGATCTAAATAATTGGAAAAACATCAGTTGCTCATGGGTTGGTCGAGCTAATATAATAAAAATGACAATTCTACCTAAGCTAATTTACTTATTCAGTGTTATACCAATCAAACTATCAAAAAATTATTTTATAGAGCTAGAAAAAAATAACAAGATTCATTTAGAATAACAAAAGGTCTAGAATATCAAGGGAACTAATTAAATGAAATGCAGGGGAAGGTGGCCTAGCAGTTCCAGACCTTAAATTGTGTTATAAAGCAGCAATCATCAAAACTACTTGATACTGGCTAAGAAATAGAGTGGTGGATCAGTGGAATAGGTTAGGTATGCAAGACTATAGTAATCTACTATTTTATAAACCCAAAAACCCCAACTTCTAGAATAAGAACTCACTATTTGACAAAAACTGCTGGGAAAACTGGAAAAGAGTATGGCAGAAACTAAGCATGGCGGGGGAGGGGGAGCCAAGGTGGTGAAGCAAAAGCAGTTACTTGCTTGACTTCTCTCCCAAACCCCTCCAAATACCTGTAAGAAATGGCTCTAAACAAATTCTAAAGCAGCAGAACCCACAAAACGCAGAGTGAAACAAATTTCCAGCCCAAGACAACCAGGATGGTTAATCGGAAAGGTATATTGCACTGGACTGGGAGAGGAATGCAATTCAGCATGGGTGCACAGGCCGCAGTGAACCTGGAACAGGCCTCAGAGGACTAAATCACTGGCAGCTGTGGTGGATTCCAGACTTCTCAACCCATTAACACTAAAGACAACTTAGAAGGTCAGAGGGAAAAGTCTGTGTCTGCAGTGAGAGAGAAACATGGGGTCCCAACCCCATTTCCTGAGCACAGCACCAGGGTGGTGGCTGCCTCCTGAGCTTCTGGCCCACAGACTGAGGGGGAATTGAGTGGCTGATCAGAGGGGGATTGCAGGGATCTCTTTGCCAGTGCTGAGGCAGGAGTCTCTTGCTTTGCCATGCTTGGATCTGGGTCACAGTTCTGGGTGGCGGTCCTAGGGTGAAGAGGAGCGCTGGTGTGGTGGAGCTTGTAGTGGCTATAGAGGGGAAATCCACCTCATAGTTCTAAGGCAGAAAAGAGTGCCTGTGGTCACTCATAGACCAGAGCACAGGCCACAAAAGGAGTAAACACCTCGCCTTTGATCATAGCACCTTGGAAGAACTAAAAATTTTCAGGTCCCTAGAAGTATCTCTGAAAACAGCTGCACAAAACCCCTGAAGCTTGGGACAGTACATTCTCCACACTAGAAGCAGACTTCTATGTGAGGGATTGTCTGATGTTGGCTACTGCCACGTGGAAGTTGTGGCAAGATGGGGCAGGGACAGGATATTAGGAAGTAACCGGAGCTCATGCTCCCGAGGCAGGGGGCTGTGCTATGTGGAGTTGTGATGAACTGGGGAAGGAACAGGATACAAGGAAGTAGCCGGAGCACGTGCTCCTGAGGCAGGGGGCTGTGCCACGTGGGAGTGGGACAGCAGAGAACGAGCTCCCTTTGTCTAGTCCTCTCCCTTTGTGCAGCACTAACCCCAGATGCCTCCTTCCAGTATTTAGGCCTAGCTTCCTTTGTCATGTCCTCTCCCTTGGTGCAGTGCTAACCC